AGCTAGGATTACAGGCATGAGCCACCAGTACCTCGCTGTCTTTGAGCTTTTATGTTAAAGGTTAGTGCTCTTATCACTTGAACCACAGCTCCACTTTTGGCTTTTTAGTGATTAATTGGGGATGAGAGTCCCAAGGACTTTCCTTCCTGAGATGGCCTCTAACTGCAACCCCCAGATTTCAGCCTCCTGAATAACTAGGATATGGGCAGGAGCTACCAAAACCTAGCAACCTGAGCATTTTTGCTTACCACGAGCCACGGCTCTACTTCTGACTTTTTGGTAGGTAACTGGAGATGAGAGTCTAACGGACTTTCCTAAATTCAAATTGAGATCTTCAGATCTCAGCCTCATGAGTAGCTAGAAATAAATACAGGCATGAGCCACTGATGACTGGTTTGTTTGTTTGTTTTTTTGTCAGTCAACCACTTCCAGTTTCCTGGTGGTTAATTGGAGATGAGGAGTCTCATGGACTTTCCTATACCGGCTGGCTTTGAACCTCCATCCTCAGATCTCAGCCTCCTGAGTACCTAGGATTACAGGCATGAGACACCAGCACCCAGCTTGTTTTGTTTTTTGAGACAGTCTTGGTATTGCTATGTTGCCCATGCTGGCTCAAACCAGATTCTCCTGTCTCAGGTTTCTGAATGCTAGGCTATAGGCATCCACCATTATGCTCATAATTTATTTATTTATTTGGAGAGGGGGGGTTATGGGGCTTGAATTCAGTGCCTGGGTACTGTCCTTGAGCATTTGTACTCAAGGCTAGCATTCTACCACTGTTAGCCCCAGGGCCACTTCTAGTTTTCTGGTGGTTAATTGGAGAAAAGAGTCTCACAGACCTTCCTGCCCAGCTGGCTCTGAATTGTGATTCTCAGATCTCAGCTTCCTGAGTAGCTAGGCTTAGAGGCAAGAGACACTGGTGCTAGGTTCATATTTTTAGAATACAAAACTTCAAAACTCTCACAAAGTATTAGCTATAATAAACAAAAACTGAATGTGACTTATAGCTATAATCTCAATATTATATGTGTGTGTGTGTGTGTGTGTATATTTTATTTATTTATTTTTGCCAGTCTTGGGGCTTGAACTCAGGGCCTGTGCATTGTCTCTGGGCTTCTTTTGCTCAAGGCTAGCACTCTACCATTTGAGCCACAGTGCCACTCGGGCTTTTTCTGTTTATGTGGTACTGAGGAATCAAACCCAGGGCTTCATACATGCTAGGCAAGCACTCTACACTAAGCCACATTCCAAGCCCTACAAATTTCTTGATGGACTGAGAACAAGAGGAGCTTTACATATACTTTTACACCTTTACTTCTCAAAGATATCCTTATTTAATAACTATCATTATGCTCTCAAACATTGTGCTCTCAAAATAAAATTATAGTTTTTACTTAAAATCCAGTGTTACAAAATGCATATATCGTATTAAAATTAAGCTTACCATATACTCTGAAGGAGCCATAAACTCAATAGTAGCATTTTGAACTTCAGGTCTTCTATGAGGTTCTCCATAAACTCTGGTTAAAGGGTTGTACATGAATTCTTCAGGAACTGTGTAAAATTACAATATTATACAGATGAAACAGAGTGAACTTAATACAAATTGTTTGGTGATTTTTCTCAATTTAGGGGTTTATAATTAACCCAATATAGGCTAAATATTAAGGAATGATGAATACATTCTTTTTTTTTTTTTTTAATTGATTGGGGTCTTGAACTCTGGGCCTGGGCACTGTCCCTCAGCTCTTCAGCTCAAGGTGAGTGCTCTATCACTTGAGCCACAGCGCCACTTCCAATTTTCTGGTGGTTAATTGGAGATAAGAGTCTCACAAACTTTCCTGCCCCAGCTGGCTTTGAACCATGATCCTCAGATCTCAGCCTCCTGAGTAGCTAGGATTACAGGCGTAAGCCACCAGCACCCAGCTGCATGTGACAATTTCTAAACTAAAATATTTCTAGGACTGTGGCAATGGCTCAAGTGGTATAGTAGGCATGAAGCCTTGAGTTCAAACTCTAATGTGGCCAAGAAAAAAAAAGGGAGAGACAGAGAAAAAAAGAAAAGAAAAAGAAAGGTTTAAACTTACTGGTTTAAATAAACCATAAAACATACAACTTATAGAACAATAGTGAAGGGCTGGGAATGTGGCTTAGAGGTAGAGTGCTTGCCTAGCATGCATGAAGCCCTGGGTCCCACTCCTCAGTACCACATAAACAGAAAAAGCCAGAAGTAGAACTGTGGCTCAAGTGGTAGAGTGCTAGCTAGCCTTGAAGGCAAAAGCTCAGGGACAGAGCTCAGACCCTGAGTTCAAGCCCCAGAACTGTCAAAAAGGAAAAAAGTAATCTTAACATATTATCATATTTTTTGTGTAAAATGTACATATTTATTTATAAGCATAAACATTTAAAAAAGTTAACAGAAGTTTTCTGCGTAGACTTGGTTATAAATATAGGAAGGCACAGAAAAGGGCTGAGAGCATAGCTCAGGTAGTAGAGCACCTGCCCATCAAGGGGAGCCCTTAAGTTCAAATACCAGGACAGCTGAAATAAATTATATAGTAAACATGAGGGCATTTTAGATATTCATTATATTGTCATGATCCTCTTAACTCAGCCTTAAAACAGCTAAAATTAATTATTATTTCTTTCTTTTCATTGAAAGACAGGTTCAAACTCAGGATCTTATGCTGTTTAGGTTGGCACTCTAGCACTTGAGCTCCAGCTTCAGTCTTGTTTTCTGCTTTTTTTTTTTGGCAGTCGGTCAGGGGACTTGAACTCTGGGCTTGAGTGCTGTCTCTCAGCTCTTCATCTCAAGGTTAGTACTCTATCACTGGAGCAACAGTGCCACTTCTAGTTTTCTGGTGGATAATTAGAGATAAGAGCCTCACAGACTTTACTGCCCAGGCTGGCTTTGAACTGAGATCTTCAAATCTGAGCCTCCTGAGTAGCTAGGATTACAGGACTGAGCCACCAGTGCCCAAGCTCTGCTGGGTTGTTGTTGGTTTTTTTGTTTTTGTTTTTTTGGTTGGTCGTGGGGCTTGAACTCTGAGCTTGGGTGCTATCCATGCACTCTTCAGCTCAAGGCGAGCGCTCTACTGCTTGAGCCACAGCACCACTTCTGATTTTCTAGTGGTTTATTGGAGATAAGAGTCTCACAGTTTCCTTCAGGATGGCTTTGAACCGTGATCCTCAGATCTCAGGCTCCTGAGTAGCTAGGATTACAGGCATGAGCCACCGACACCGGCTCTGCCGTTTTTTTTTTTTTTGCCAGTCATGGAGCCTGAACTCTGGGCCTGGTCACTGTCCCTCAGTTCTTCAGCTCAAGGCTAGTGCTCTACCACTTGAGCCACAGCACCACTTCTGGCCTTTTCTGCTTATGTGGTGCTGAGGAATCGAACCCAGGGCCTCATGCATGCAAGGCAAGCACTCTACCACTGAGCCACCTTTCCAGCCCATCTGCCGGTTATTTTTGATAGAATCTCCTAAAGGTTTCTACCTGGCTGGTTTGGAACCTTGATCCTCCATAGCTAAGATTACAGGCATGAGTCATCAGTGCCTAGCTTTTTTTTTTTAACTTCACATTTTTGTTATCCTACTTCTAGATAATGCAAGCAAAGACTATGTGCGTACCATCGTTGACTCGGTAACATAAGTTACACTTCCACCTCCTTTGGTCAAGAAAGCTGACAAAAGGGTTGATGTAGGTCCTGCAGGAACGACATCTCACAATTGTATTGGAGGTAACCACAGGCAATTGCTGAAAACAACAACAAAAACAAGTTTGTAAAGGCAATCATCATTACTTTGAAAAGGCAAACATCAATTTATCCTTTTGAAATAGCCTTTTATGCTTAAAATTTGTCCTCTTTTGGGGGGTGGGAGGGAGGGCAGGCAGTACTGGGGTTTGAACTCAGGGTCTTAAGCCTGCTACAATAATGTTCTATCACTTGAGCCACACATCCAGCCATTTTGGCCAGTTATTTTTCAAGTAGGGACTTTTATTTTTGCCTGGTTAAGTCTGGGTCTTGAGCCTCTTATTTTTGCCTCCTGTGTAAGAGGGATGACAAAGGTATGCTACTATGCTGAACTGTTCTGGTTGAGGTCTTGCTAACTTGTTGCCTAGGCTAGCTTCTAATGGCGATCCTCCTGAACCCCAACCTCTCAAGCAGTTGGGAGTACAGGCATGTGCCACTACACCTAAGGAAGATTTACCTTTTTAAAAAAAGTATTTATGTTCTTAGTAAATACATTGTAAAATCAAGAAAATGTTTACAAGGAAGAAGATGGTAAACGTAAAAAGGAACTATGTGGCTCAGGCTAGTCTCACAACTCTTGGACTCATGTGATCCTCCTGTCCTATCCTCCCAAAAGAGGTTAGACAACATTCTAAAAGAAGGATAAATACTATAAAGTTTTTTTCCCCTTTGGATGTATGTACCATTACTGGGGCTTAAATTTAGGACCTCAAACTGTTGCTTGGCTTTTTTGCTCAAGGCTGGCACGCTTATCACTTGAACCACACCTCTAGTTCCTATTATAAAGGCTTTGATTAACAGGCATATTTAGTTCTCATGAAATTAGTTACAAAGTTAAATAGCACTTACAGTTTATATTCTTTGGGGGGAAGGGGGGCTAGTCTTAAATTCAGGGCCTGGGTACTTTCTCTGAGCATTTGTGCTCAAAGATAGCACTCTATCACTTTGAGCCAAAGCTCCATTTCCAGCCTTTTGGAAGTTAACTGGAGGTCAGAGTCTCATGGATTTTCTGTTTGGGCTGGGTTTGAACCATGATCCTCAGATCTCAGTCTTCTGAGTAGCTGGGATTACAGGCATGAGTGCCAGCTAACATTTATCTTAATTTATTAAACTTTTTCTCAGTACAGCCTTTATTGACACAAGATATTCAAATCTACCTTTATGGCAGCTTTATTTTCATGTCCTAAACTTATAGTTACTTTTGCTCTAACATACATAGAAGCCTACAAAAACTGCTTAAAGTTCAACTTTATTTCTAGCCATTGCCTTTGAAATCATCATTGTTCCTGATGTTAGAACACGTTCTTTCCTCACAATAAATTTACAACACTGGTATCACAAGATACTAATGTGGCACAAAAAGTACTGGGGCCTTCACAGCCATCATAGGTTTTCTTCTCTGTCTATCATGTTCCTATGCAAGCCTACTTTTTTGTTTTTTGTTTTTGGTCCAGTCGTGGGACCTGACTCAGGGCCTGGGCGCTGTCTCTCAGCTCTTCAGCTCAAGGCAAGCGCTCTACCACTTGAGCCACAGTGCCACTTCCGGCTTTTTCCTTTTTGCTTATGTGGTGCTGAGGAATCGAACCCAGGGCCTCATGCATACAAGGCAAGCGCTCTACCACTGAGCCACCTTCCCAGCCCCTACTTTTTTTTTTTTTAACGCCAGTCCTAGGGCTTGAACTCTGGACTCTATGCTGTTCCTAAGCTTTTTTTGTTCAAGGCTACTCCACTTCTGGGGCTTGAATTCTAGGCCTGGGCTCTGTTGCTGAGCTCGTCAGCCCAAGGCCAGCTCGTCAGCCCAAGGCCAGAACTCTACCCCTTGAGCCACCGTGCCTCTTCCAGTTTTCTGTTGGTTAACTAGAGATAAGAGTCTCACAGGCTTTCCTTCTTGGGCTGGCTTTCAACCATAGCTCTCAGATCTCAGCCTCCTGAGTAGCTAAGATTACAGGCGTGAGCCACTGGCACCCAGCTGACTTTTGGCTTCTTTTGTAGTTTATTTTGGTAGTTCATCTCACTGTCTTTCTTGCCCCAGTTGACTTCAAACATGATCCTCAAATCTCAGCTTCCTGAGTAGCTAGGATTACAGGCCTGAGCCGTTAGTGCCCTAATGTAAGCCTTTTTTTTTTTTTTTAATCTGTCTGTGGTCAAGTTAAAAGACAGCTCAGATAAATTTAATATACAACTCTCAAATTGTTGCAGATGATTTCCTAAGAAATATTGACTCTCACTAGAAACACATACCACTAGATCTTTGAAAGGATGAAGCAATAGCCCCAAAGGAAGTTTGGCTTTATTCAGTAAGGCCTGAGTCTGAGGAATGCTCGTCAGTGTGCATCGAAATAACCTTTAAAGAAAAAAAAAAAGGGTCAGTTGCTGCTAGTCTTATTTTAGCTAAGTAATCATCTTTTTTTTTTTTTTTTTTGCTGGTTCTGGGGGCTTGAGCTCAGGACCTGGGTGCTGTCCCTGAGCCCCTTTGTGCTAATGTTCTACCACTTAAGCCATAGTGCCACTTCTGGCTTTTTCTGAGTAGTTTATTGGAGATAGGAGTTTCACAGACTTTCCTGTCGAGGCTGGCTTTGAACCATGATCCATAGATCTCAACTCCCCCCTTGCTAGGACTACAGGTGTGAGCCACCTGCGCCCAGCTAGTTAAATAATAATCATTAAGTAGACAAATGGTATTTACCATTAATAATAAGGATACACTTTAATTTTACATCAGATTACACATAAAGTATTTAATAGCCTCTCTGATATTCTTTTTTTTGTGTGTGGTATGTGTATATGTCTGGAGACTGGGAACTCAGACTCAGGATTTGACACCTGCTTGCACTCATTGGCTGGAACTTTACAACCACAGCCACGCCTTCAACCCTCCTCCCTTTTTGTGTTTAGTTTTATTTTTGCATGTTTGATATGGTATCCCATTAAAATGTTTTAAGTTGCTGGGCACGTTGGTGCACACCTGTTAATGTTAGCACTCAGGAAGCTGAGCCAGGAGTGACCTTGGGGTCAACCTGGGTTACATAACAAAACCAAATAAATAAATAATATTATAATTATGTCTGTAATGAAGTTAACTTAAAAATGAAGCAAAAAAAAGAATTATATAGAGTGGGGTGCTAGTGGTTCATACCTGTAATCCTAGCTACTCAGAAGGCTAAGATTTGAAGATCAAAGTTTGGAGCCAGCCCAGGCAGAAAAGTCCCCATGAGACTCTTATCTCCAATTAACCACTCAAAAACCAGAAGTGGCACTGTGGCTCAAGTGGCAGAGTGCTAGCCTTGAGAACAAAGAGGCTCAGAGACAGCTCCCAGGACCTGAGTTCAAGCCCCATGATAAGCCAAAAAAAAAAAAAAAGAAGAAGAAGAATTATGTAGACTTAGATTCTTGTACTATATAATGTAGAGCTGATGTGAGCATCAATTGGATCAAATGTTATCATGCTATTTCTTCTTTATTTTTATATTTGTTTTTTGAGATAGGAACTCATTAAGTAATTTACACTGGAGTGAAACTTTGTCTTATTGCTTTCACCTTCCAAATGCTGGGATTAGGACTACCACACCTGGCCCTATTTCTTTTTTTTTTTTGGCCCTAGGGTTGAACTCTGGGCCTGGGCCTGTCCCTGAGCTTCTTTTGCTCAAGGCTAGTACTCTTGAGCCACAGTACCACTTTGTTTTTTCCTAAGTAGTTTATTGGAGTCTCACAAACTTTCTTGCCTGGGCTGGACTCAAACCACAGTCCTCAGGTCTCAGCCTCCTGAGTAGCTAGGATTATAGGTGTGAGCCACTGGCACCCAGCTTTCTATTTCATGAGAGAGGAGAGGAGAGAGGAGAGGGGAGAGAGGAGAAAGGAGAAGGAGGAAGGGAGAGGGAGGAGGGGGAGAGGGGAGCAGAGAAGGGAGAGGGGAGAAGGGAGAGAAAGAACACACGTGTTCATCCTGAGACTGGAATTTAAGGTCTAAGTATGCTTAGGCTAGTGCTCTACCACATAAGCCACAGCCTACTTCTCACTTTTTGGTAGTTAATTGGAAATAAGAGTCTTGTGGATTTTCCTGCCCTCAGCTTCCTGAGTAGCTAGGAGTACAGGACCACCAGCACCTGGCTCCTGTTTCTTAATTTAGAACCCTCCAAATTTTATTCAAGGCTTCTTTCCATAAATTACATGTACAGCTTATTCAAACACCTGAAACTAATTTAAAAAACTAAAAAAATTCACAACTTGCATAATATCATGTATAATAATGTATGAAGCCTTACTCTGGGTTACAGTTGAGTTTCTGGATGTCTTCATGCAAATTTGGAACTGGAGGCTTCAAAGGTGTTGAGGGAAGCATGTTTCGCTCTTGAAGAAGATTGATGACTCTTAGACCCTCTGGATGTAGACTTAATCCACTCATGCTTGCAGTTAAATGATTAGCACCTAAGGGAGTCTACAAATAGACACATTATTTCAAAGTAAGTAACCATTTAAAATGTGTACAAACTTCAAGTCTCTCTACATAAGAAAAAAACTGTAAACTAGATTATCTGACCAATCTTGTAGAAGTACAAAGGCTTCATTTATTAAATATTCACTATTACAGTAATTAGTTATAAGTGTTCTACATATAGTCCTAAAACTTTGCTCATTGTATATTTTGCTTACACCTAAAAATAGAAAATAGGCTTTAAAAAAAAGCTTACCTGAGTAAAGGCCTGGGGGCCACTAGGGTAATTCAAGGATGAGGGTGGCATTCCAGTCCCACTAGGCGGCGTTGTGTTCTGGTAACCAGGTGGTAGGGAGGGGTAGGCATACCCAACACTTCGGCTCATTTTGGGATTCTTATTAGTGAGCTGTGATGTTGCTAGAAATGAGGTAACTTTTAAGTTCTATTTTATATTCTACAATACTTTAAATCAACACAAAGATCCATTAAATTATGTAATTATAATTTAGAGTTCCTCTAGGTTAATTTACCTTACTTTTATCAATCAATTTGGCAAAATGAAGACAAATTTTATGAACACAATAATAGCTATGATTAAAATCTAGTTAATCTAAGAGTACAGCTATAAGTAAAAAAAATAAGTTTGGCATAATTTACTTTCCTGTATATGGTAAGTTTTGTATATAGGCTAAATTTTAATTTAAAACAACTTTAATGAAAATATCCTGTACATTCAGCTTATCGGACTGGCTTAATAGTCATATCATAATTAAAAAAACCATGATCCCAATTCTGAAAGGAAGGAAAAATAATGAAAAGAAGTAAAACATGATAATGATAGGTGAGTCTACATAACAAAATGATGAAGTTTCCTCTGGTTTCCTATAATGAGTAAATATTATTTCTATAATCAGAAAAAAAAAGATGAAAAAAACTTCCATAGCATCTCACCCAAGAAGCCACCTCCTTCAATTTCATCATAATTACTGTGGACCACCATCGATCCGTTATTGGCATTTGATGTAATACCTAAGAAGAAAGTCCATTAAGGTTTACATTAGAATAATTGCTCTAGGACATGAACTAATTAATATATCCGTGTGTGTGTGTGTAGGTGTGTGTGTGTGTGTGTGTGTGTGTGTGTGTAGGTGTACCGTAATGAGGCTTGAATTCAGGGTCTGGGTACTGTCTGACTTTTTGCTGTTTTATTAGAGCTGGAGGCTCATAGACATTTCTGCCTGGGCTGGCTTCAATCCTTGATTATTAGATTTCAACCTCCCTAAGTAACTAGGATTACAGACATGAGCCACCAGGGCCCAGCACTAAAATTTTATTATTATTTTCAAACAAACAGTTTAAAGGACATTCTACATAGAAATGTTAAATGTTCATGGACAAATGACGGAAACTTCAATTTCTGAAAAGACATACAAATTGCCAACATCTATGTATAAAATCCTTAGCATCACTCATCAGCAGGGAATACAAATCAAAACCACAATGCAATAAATGAAAAAGATTACAATATCATCTCATTTCAGTTAGAATGGGTATTATCAAAAACATACACACAAAAAATGTTAGCCTGGCACCAGTGGCTCACACCTGTAATCCTAGCTACTCAGGAGGCTAAGATCTGAAGATGTGGTTCAAAGCCAGCCCAGGCAGGAACATCCACAAGACTCTGATTTCCATTAACCACCAGAAAACTGGAATGGCTCAAGTGGTAGAGCACTGGCCTTAGCTGAAGAGCTCAGGGACAGAGCCCAGGCCCAGAGTTCAAGCCCCACAACCAACAACAAAAAAAAAAAATGTTGACAAGGATGTGGAAAAAGTGTAACTCTTTTTTTACACAGTTGGTGAGAATGTAAACTATTCTAGCCATTATGGAAGGTTATATGAGTTCCTCAGAAAACTAAAAAGAAGTAACAAAATTTATGTCAAAGAGATGTTGGCACTCCCTTATATAGCAGTTACACATATAAAAGCCAAGATACAAGCCGGGCGCTGGTGGCTCACACCTGTAATCCTAGCTACTCAGGAGGCTGAGATCTGAGAATCGCAGTTCAAAGCCAGCCTGGGCAGGAAAGACCATGAGACTCCTATCTCCAATAAACCACTAGAAAACCGGAAGTGGCGCTGTGGCTCAAGTGGTAGAGCGCTAGCCTTGAGCTGAAGAGCTGAGGGACAGCGCCCAGGACCAGAGTTCAGGCCCCATGACCGGACCAAAAAACAAAAACAACAACAAAAAACAACAACAAAAAAGAATGTTTTTTAAAACCAGTAACTTTCACTGTGTACTGGTGGCTCATACCTATAATCCTAGCTACTCAGGAGGCTGAAACCTGAGAATCATGGTTCAAAGCTAGCCTGGGCAGGAAAGTCTGTAAGACTCTCAACTCCAATTAACCACCAGAAAACTGGAAGTAAAGCTGTGGCTCAAAGTGGTAGAAGGCTTGCCCTGAGCAAAAGAGCTCAGGGACAGCACCCAGACCCTGAGTTCAAGCCCCCTGACAGACAAAACAAACAAACAAATAAAAAAACCACCAATAATTTTCCATATGGTCTTAAGGTTTCAAATATTACTTCAAATCCCTAAACAAGCAAAAGTTTCTCATCTCTACATTTTAAACATTCCTATAAAAACAGTACCTGATTTTATGAAGCTGTTTTGATGTGAGGAATCTCCAGAAGATACATACGGATGATTTGTTGTTAAATTTGTATTCCCAGATACAGTTGGCTGGGCCCCAGGAGGACAGTGGTTTGTCTGTGATCCTGTGGATGGATAGTTATATTGCCAATTCGAAGGTGGTGGTGGTGGTGGATTAGCTCCAGGAAGAAAATTACCAGAAGGCATTGGTGCAGCAGCTGGGTTCTGAGAATTAGGGAGTGGCATTCGGGGAACAGGACCACTATGCAGTGAAGGTGTCACTGGATTCAAAGCCACAGGTGGTCTATTGAAAGTCTGCCCAGATCCCTGAGAACCACCATAATTAGACTGTCCACACAGTGGACTTGAAGTCTTTGCTGGTATTAGATGAGGGTAGGATCCTGGAAGCTGGGAATTATATCCTTGGCTCACTGACATGTGTGAAGACATCAGTGCATTTTGGACAGGACCTTCCAAAAAGAGAAAGAAAAATTAGTCTTGCAAACAAATAGCAATACTTAAAAAAAAAAAATACCGTAGGGGCTGAGCATTTGACTCATCCACAAAGCCCTGGGTTTGATCAGCAGCACAGAAAAGAAAAAAAGAAAAAAAAGTAAAGTATATTGTTCTTCCTCCCTCAGAAATTAAAAGACATATATACTTCAAATAAAGACTAAGCAAACAAAGCCAGGCTCCAGTGACTTATACCTATAATCCTAGATACACAGAAGGCTGAAATTTGAGGATGGAAGTTCAAAGCCAGCCCGAGCAGGCAAGTCTCTGAAACTTTTTTTTTTCTTTTCAGTTGTGGAACTTCAACTCTGGGCCTGAGCTCTGTCCTTCAGCTCTTCAGCTCAAGGCTAGCACTCTACCACTTGAAACACAGCGCCACTTCCTGTTTTTCCTGTTTATGTTGTGCTGAGGAATCAAACACAGGACTTCACGCATGAGAGGCAAGTACTCTACCACTGAGCCACCTTCCTAGCCCAGAAAGTGATTTTTTTTTTTTGACAGTTCTGGGGCTTGAACTCAGAGGGCCTATGTACTGTCCCTGAGCTTCTTGTGCTCAAGGCTAGAACTCTACAACTTGAGCCACAGCGTCACTTCCTGTGAAATTCTTATCTACAATTAACCAGCAAAAAGCTTGAAGTAGAGATGCAGTTCAAGTAGTAAAGCATTAGTCTTGAACACAAAAGTTCAGGGACAGAATCCAGACCCTAAGTTCAAGCCCCAGGACTGGCACACATACATACAAATCTCTACCCTGTAATCTCAGTTACTTAGGATGAAACTATACCATTCCTGGGCATCTATGTATAATATTTGAAGTCAACATACAATGGAGACGCTGGGATACACTCATGTGCACTGCAGCACTATTTCCTATGACCAAGTTATGAACTCAGTCCCCTCAGCCCATGCAACCCAAGTCATTGGCATAACCCATTCCTTTCACAAACATCCATAAGCATTTGTATAAAAGGTGGCATTATGGGCGGTAACACACACACACACACACACACACACACACACCTACCTAATACATACATAATTGCTCTGCAAAATAATATAGGCATCCTGTTGAACAACAGGTTTTAGGGACATGGGGAAAGAAAGATGAAAGAAAGAGGAGGTTATTATGATTAAAATATATGCATGTACAAAACAAAATGGTAAAACCTCCTGGCACAATTAATATACACTAAATGATCAATAGAAAAAAGTAAAACAGGCTCTATTGGGGCAGGTATCAGTAGAAGGGGGAGGGTGAACAGAGAGTGCTAATATGGTCAAAGTACTTGATATGCATTATGAAAATACAAAAGTGAAACTTGTTGAAATTATTTTAAGAAGATGGGAAGAAGTAAGGGAGAGTGACCCAGGGGTTCAATTTAATGGGAAACATGATATGCATACACAAAAATGGCACAATAAAACACCTCGCATAAAACTAATATGCGATAATAAAAAACACCTTAAAATAGAAAATTATGGAAGTAGCACTGTGGCTCAAAGCGGTCGAGCACTAGCCTTGAGAGAAAAAGCTCAGGGACAGCATCTAGGCTCTGAGTTTGAGCCCCATAATAAAAAAAGAAAGAAAGAAAACACACACACACAAACCTGCAAAAAACAAATTAAATAATCTTTCCACAAAATAGCATTAGCCTGTCCTCACTTATTAAATTGCCATGAAGGGAAAATAGTTGGCAAGGGCACAGTGAGAAAAGAATGAAGATCAGGGGATATAATGAGATTCTATACCCTGATCTTCCATGGAGCATTAAAATATAATACTATTATTTATTTACTTTGCTGTGTTCGTACTTTATTTTTTTGCTTAAGGCAGGTGCGCTATCACTAGAGCCACATCTTCTACCTCCAGTGTTTTGCAGATAAAGTGTCTTTCAGGCTTGTTTGGGTCTTGAACTCAGGGTCTGGCCTATCCCTTAGTTTTTTTGCTCAAATCTAGTACTCTATCATTGGAGCCACAGCTCCACTTCCCTCTGTTAGCCGTCGTTGTTTTAACTCAAAATTGGCACTCTACATCTTAAGACACAGCTCTACTTCCAGATTTCTGATGGTTAATTGGAGATAAGAGACTTACAGACTTTCTTGCCCAGGCTAGCTTCGAGCCACAGTCTTCAGATCTCAGCCTTCTGAGTAGCTAGGATTACAGATTACACCAGTACCTGGCCAGGGTAGACATTTCTAAAGCACATGTATTTCATTATTATTCCATGGATGGCTCAATTTTTAAATATAAGTAGAGATCTAGGAAATTCAAAAATAGTGCTTACAACTGGCCCCTGTGATGTGTCTCTCCATACCATCCTATCACACTTCTAAGTGAAAGTTATTGTAGTCAAAATATACAAGGGGTTGAAATCTCAACTCAGTTGAAATCTGGTCTGATTCCAACACAACAATAACAAAAAGAAAATGCAAAAAAAGAGAATGCATGTTTAATATGCTTAAAGGCCCTGGGATTAAGCTCCAACACCAAGATATTTAACTTCTATAGTTCTGTTCCCTTATCTACCAAATGGGAACAGGGATTCTTTTTTTTTTTTTT